GACGTGGACAGCGCTCACGAAGGAGTCCTGAAAGGAAATGTGTTTTGTGCAAACAAACTGTGAGAAACAAGACAGACGTTTCTGGATGACAGAAGTTACAAACATTAGAGATTAGAGTATGAGGGAGGCAGTTTGGTAGTTCCCAGTGCCTTGCTCTTGTGTGTGATGGCTGTGGAAGTGCAGATGTCCTGCCTGGTAGGGAATAACGTTTATGTATAGAAAGTATGTTTGGATAGAAAAATGCTGTTCAGCTTTTGCAGAAAAACGTACAAACCCTTTGTAAGATCTGGGGCATTGGTGTTGAACTCCTATACCACCAACACCAGCATTGTCCCAGACAGATGAAAATTCACACCATTTACAGTCACGTCTCCTCCTCCACATGGCAGCTTTATCTGGGACTCGAAGGCAGCCCAAGCACAGTGAAATGGCCTAAAACAGAGAAGTGTGAACGCTGAGCAGAGGAAGGGCGGCAGAGGATGGCGTTGGGTCAGGTCCCAGCTGGCCCTTTTGGGTCACTGGGCCACCCCAGGAGGGTTCCTCCGCTCCATCCCTTGTGGGCAGGGGCAGCAGCGGGGGCTTGCTGTTCGGTGCCGAGCCGTTCATGGGGTGCAGGGGGTGCCCTGGGACAGGAACGGCATCAGGGACCAGATTTTCTGTGAGTGCTGTGCCCCAGCCACGGCCTGACAGCGAGAGGGATGCTTGGGTACCTGGTCAGAAACAGAAGGGATAACTGATTTGGTCACTGAACACACACTAAATCAGTGTTGCTTTTGAATTACCTGTCAACAGATACTCTTTTTTTTTTTCTTGCTGCCTGCCTCTCTGGTGAGCAGGGTCCCACACGCACGCATTTCTGTAGGCACCAGCTGGGCAAACAGCAACCCACTGCCCACTGAGTTGGGCTTCTGCAGCAGCTACCAAAAAATAAAACCAATAAAAAAACACAAGCGGGGGAAAAAACCCAAAAAGGTTGCACAATTCCTTTTCTTGAGAATAAGGGCAGTTAGCTGAGCTCTCCAGCATGGCACTGACAAGATGAGACAGCTGCCTTAGAGCCAGGGTGTTCAAACATGCTGCCGTTATCCTGTTACATGAATCAAAACCAGCACACACCAGCTTTCATCTGGATTTCATTATTGTGATTTATATCGTAGAGACTGTTGTCTTGCAGGAAGCAGCAGTATACAGAGTTGGGGGGGGGAAGATTTCTATCAACAGGACAAAATTAACTAATCTCTCTGTTTAAAAATAGCCATACTTCCTTACCATTTTCAGTTTTAGACTGTCTGCTTATTCTCAAGCCTCTTGAGCGCTTTGCTTTAAATAAAATTTTATAAAAGAGCTTTTCTCCTTCTAAAGAGAATTTAACTGAATTCTGGCAAATCTCCCACAGGCTGAAGGAGTTCCAGGTAAAAGAGACGGTGCCTGCAGAGCGGCTGTGGGGGAAGGTGCACTGGGGGGGCTGCTGCTGTGTGACAGAGCCTGGGGTGCACTTCCCCTCTGCACAGTCACCCCTGGAGCTGGCACCTACTTGTTAGAGTTGAAAGCAACTGAAACTTGCTGTCTCCCGTAATTTCTGTGCAGCTGAGTCTGGAGGATGGTCTGGTCCTCCTCCGCTGCCATGCCCTTTCTGCAGGGAAGAGGTTTTTGTGAGGTTGGTGCATGATTGTATCCTCCATCCTATCAAGGGAAGATGATTACCTGGAGAAAGCCAAATGCAAATCTGCCAGAAAAAACCATGATCGCTCTGAGGCAGATAATTAAGATAAAACTAAGGAGCTCCGTGCTAATGGAGAACAAACAACAGGCAGTTAGGTTTGCAGTGAAGCATGAAATGAGGTGTCGTGTAGCTTTGCACAGTAGCACCGAGCTCACTCTTTCTAGGATTGCCCGAGACAATCAGAAAATGCTGGTAGTAACTGAAATCATCTTTGGATTTAATAATGGATAAACTTTATGTGCTCAGTGTTTATTGACTCTGTAAGTAAGAGCAGCATGGACAGATGCTTCTATACTTTGGGTAGCTGATGTCACCAGTCCAAATTATATTACATGGCTTCTTTCAATAGTCTTATAGCAGTAATAAGAGGAACCCTCTTAACAACCTGCGTCCAGCTCTGGGGCCCTCAACATGAGAAGGATATCAACTGGTAGGAGAGAGTCCAGAGGAGGCTGCAAAGATGCTCAGAGGGCTGGAGCACCTCTGCTATGGGGACAGGCTGAGAGAGTTGGGCTTGGTCAGCCTGGAGAAGAGAAGGCTCCGGGGAGACCTTATTGCACCTTCCAGTACCTGAAGGGGCTACAAGGAAGCTGGGGGGGACTTTTTACAAGGGCCTGTAGTGACAGGACAAGGGGGGATGGGTTTAAATTGAAAGTGGGGAGGTTTAGATGAGATATCAGGAAGAAGTTCTTCATGGAGAGGGAGGTGAGGTCCTGGAATAGGTTGCCCAGAGAAGCTGTGGATGCCCCATCCCTGGAAGTGTTCAAGGCCAGGCTGGATGAAGCTTTGAGCAACCTGGTCTAGTGGAAGGTGTCCCTGCCCATGGCAGGGGGGGTGAAACTAGATGATCTTTAAGGTCCCTTCCAACCCCAACCATTCTATGAACAACACATGAAACCCCCAGTATATCCATGTGTCAGAAGCACCCAGCTTGCTGATGAACCTCCAGCAACAAAACCAAGGAGTAGGCAGGCAGTCAGTGATGTCCCAGGGACAGAAAGGAGAGGAATAATTGTTAAGATCTTCATTATTATTCTTCAGAGAGTGGGCTGAGCCCTGCCAGGTGAGATGGAGCACGTGAGAAGCTGTCTGTGATGAGGAGCCATGGCCGCACTGGTGCGTGTGTACATCCTTCTCACCTCAGCCAGATTAAAACCAGGCAGACCCACACATTTGACAGGACGAGAGTAAACGGCTTCAAGTTGTAGCAGGGGAGGTTCAGATTGGGTATTGAGAAAGATTTCTTCACCAAAAGGGCTGTCAGACGTTGGAACAGGCTGCCCAGGGAAGTGGTGGAGTCATCATCCCTGGAGATATTTAATGGATGAGTTGATGTAGTGCTCAGGGACATGGTTTAGGGTCAACTCGGCAGTGCCAGGTTGACGGTTGGACTCAGTGATGTTAAAGTTCTTTTCCAGCCAAAACAATTCTATGATCACTCAGTTGAAGCCTTTCCCTTGACCCTTAGTAGGGCAAGGTGTCTCCTCCCTGTCTTTTCCTCTCTTTTGTTATCCAGGCGTGGTGACACGTTGCCTGCCTCAGTGTCAGGACAGCGTATGCATTTTTCACCTCAGTGGCACTGCGGGGTCTGCATGGACCTGCGTTCGAGCTCGTCCGTATGAAGGGGGTGGCTGAAGAGGGTTGATGTGGCTTTCTCCTTTGTAGTGATTTGTTCCTGTCAGCTTTCTGTAATAGGATGGAATTTCCTTGATAAATTATCCTTTTTATTGAGCAAAATTTGGACTGGTGCCTAACATGTAACCGTGTGGAAGGGGGCTCACAGCATTTATACTTAGGGAAACGGCAGGCAGCTGTTGCACGTGATGTCCCCGGCAGAATTACCTGCCACCATGTAGTGGGGAGCAATTTATCTGGACAGATGATGCTTCTCACGCTGCAAATCAGAGAGCAGAACGATCCCCATTTTAAAATGTGTGTGACCCTAGCAACACCCTGTGGCAGGAAGGTGGTTGTTTCCTCTACCTGTGGTGCGTGTTCAGGGGAAACACGTGCTCTGCTTTCTTTTAAATTCCTGTAATTGCCCATTATTTCAGTACCCTATCTCCTAAACAAAGTGCACGAAAAGTTAGGTGTGTTTTACTCCCTTTCATGCTCATTTTGGATCCAAACAAGAACATGATGGGCTAGCAAGAGTTGTCTGATGGCTGTCTACAGCCATTACACTCTCTCCTCCCCAAGCCTTTCCATACACTAATTTAATTATTGAAAAAAACCTACAAGCTTATGCAGTCAGTCTTTTTGGCTGATTTAGATTCTCATGGGGATATAATGCAGCGATGCTCCATCTTCTATAAAGGCAGAAAATGCAACAAGTGTTTTGCACGCCTCTTTCCACGTCTTGTTCGGCGTTGACAGCCCTTTGCCGTAATATAAGTTCACCATATACAGAAATCAGAAAGGAAAATGATATTACTGGAAAGAGCATGCATTGCACTGATACTCTCCCACTGCCCGTGCTTCAAGCTGGCTGGGAGCTGGGTGCCTGGGATCCCAGGAGGGATCAGCTGCCCAAGCTGAGGCTCTTCCCTGCTTCTGTCCGAGAGGCAGAACTGCCAACACCAGGAAGAGAATGGGCACATCCCCAAAAGGAAGGTTGGTTTGTCATTCAGCTGATAGTTTCAGGCCAGGTGAGAGGTGACAGAGGATGTGGGTAAAATACCTCCTGAATGAGTAAAGGGAATAGACTGTACCCTTTAAACGTTGTCCTAACTCGATGTTTTTGTCCACTTGCTGCCTAACTTACATCATTGCTATCTTGCACTCTACTGAATGACCTCCCATGTAGGCTACTTACCAATTTTATCACAAATATCCATGGTGGCAGTCAAAAATTTGTACCAGCGGTTCCTTTGAAGAATCAATTTGATAGAATCTCACAGTTATGTCCCAGAACCGCACGGAGATAGACACACAAAATCTGGTCACCAAAACAGTTACTGTGATGATTTTTGTTGTTGTTGAACAGGACTTCTCAGCTAGATTTTATCCACCCACATTCCGCTCAACCTCACTCTGAGCGATAACTTGGAGGATCCTACTAAAGTATGTGCTTGTGCTGAAGAGTCGTCTCAGATTTCAGGCCACTTGTTCTGACGGAGCAATCACAAACTGTTGCCTTATTAATTCAGACTTAATTTTCCTCTCTACTGAAAGCACTGGGACTGACTGGCACTGGTTTGATATTCCTTGCTTTTGGGAGGAATATCATGTTTGTTACAAACTAAAAGAGCAATTCTGTCTTGACCTTGTGTTACAGACCACAGTCATAGACTACGTGAAGCCATCAGATCTCAAGAAGGACATGAATGAGACCTTTAAGGAGAAGTTCCCTCACATCAAGTTAACCCTCAGTAAAATAAGAAGGTACGTTGCAAAGCTTGGTAAGGCAGCACCGTGGTGCAGCTGTCGCTGCTTTCAGTGCAGTTGCTGCGGTACATGTGGGGGGAAGCACAGCACTGATTGACCTTCCAGGAGCAGTGACTGGCAGAGGTGCAGAGTAAGCCCGGTGATTGATTAGTGGGCTGAGTAAACAAGATAGGGGAGTGTACAAACACGCACCGGTCAGGTGTCAAACACGGCACCTAATGGGATGAGAATGTGAGCTGGCCGTGCACTGTACTGAAATATCCAAAAAAACGCCACCGCAGAGTCTCTAAGTTCATGGCACTTGGCTTAAAAAGAGACTGAGGAAGGGCTTTTGTGCCTTTGTCCTGAGAGCATGGCCAGAAGCAAAACAAGTGGTCAGCTTCACAGCCAAGCTGTAACATCTCATCACTGTCTGCAGCGTAGCAGGCTGGGCATGTTGCTTCAGAGAAGTAATGACAATTTCATTTGGCTCAAGTGGCCAAAGGGATACAGAGTCGTGTTGCTCTGTAACCAGACAGTACCACAGTACGTGGAAGGACTGTAGGTTTGGATTTGACCAGCTGTAACCAGCAGCGAAGCTGCATATAGAGGCACAAGCGATCAAGCTGTTGTTCCTAAATAATTTGATTTGTATGCAGACCTCTAAGGAATGAAATAGACTAAAAATGTCAAAGCTTTACAGTTGCTTTTATAATTTGACACAACTATCTACTGGGGTCAGTGAGGGGAAGAAGGGTGAGGTCAAAATGTGCCACGAAATGTGTCCCTGAAACAGACCATGAAGATACCTGGACAGTAAATTAAATTTTCCTTTTCCCCTCCATTTGACTAAGTAGGAATCTCTGAAAGGGTGACTCCTGGGGTGAAATGGGAAGTGCTTTCAAATGCAGTTCACAGCATACTTGTCTGCTCTCTTTACTCAGCTTGAAGAGAGAAATGCGCAAGCTTGCTCAAGAAGAATGTGGTTTTGAAGAGCCCACAGTGGCCATGGCCTTTGTCTACTTTGAGAAGCTCGCTCTCAAGGGGAAGCTGAACAAGCAGAATAGAAAGCTGTGCGCTGGAGCCTGTGTTCTTTTAGCAGCCAAAATTGGCAGTGACCTCAGAAAACATGAAGTCAAGCATCTTATAGATGTACGTATCCATTGGGTTCCAGCGTTCCTTCTACATGAAGTGCCGCATGTGGGCTGCGCTAGCCTGCGTGTCGGTGGTCACGCTGTCCCCTCTGGGTTTCCAGCGGTACAGCCAAGCTAAATATCAGGTTTTGTTACGCATTCGTGTGGAAGATCAGTGTCACTGCAGAGGCGTGGGAAGCTTGTGTGATGTGATTGAAGACCCTGGTGTCAGATACTGTGAGGTCTGAGAGGTGTCTGACCACCGTTCTGTCAATACAAGTCAAAAGTTAACCTTCAGGAAATTAATTTTGCTTATAATTAGGTTTTCAAGAGTGTCAGTAAGGACTTTCTCCTTTGAGAGGTAGATGCAGATACTAATTTCAGAGGGAGTCAGATAGACTACTGAGTTTGTATTTCTTTCATCAAGTTAAGCTTTTGGGCGAGAAAACCTCTTGTTTCCATCAGAACACCTCACCCAAACTGTTTTTTTTGTAGAGCAAGGGGTTTGGTCTTCCACCCACTCCATACGAAAGAGTTAACAGACGGGATTGTTACTCCGTAACCCGTTTGCAAGCACCGAGGCACCAAGCTGATCGAACACCACAGAAAGTTAGGGCAGGTAGCTGGGTACTTGGCTACAACCAGCTTAGTTGAGGAGACGTGGGGACTCGGTTGGAGGGCAGAACTGGCCTCGTGCCCTTCTGCCACAGTCACAGAGCTGGCTTCACAGCCAGTGCCCTTACGATTGTTGCAGATGACACCTTCTGCCTCTGAGGTACTCAGATATATCTCATTGTGGCAGAAATAATTTCCCCAGGAGGGTGTTGGTTGCAGCCAAACGCTGGAAAGAAAGCTGGTGCTTTCCAGCAGCGCAGGGCGTTTGCGGGCAGTTACGCGACGCCTGTCTTCCCCTGCACAAGCGATTTCGACGTTTGCGTAAAGCCAGGGGTTTCGCCTTCCTGCAGTGGTAATCACTGTGATCCTTACAAGTCGGTTATGCTGGAGGTGGAGTGAGGGAAATGACAAATGTGTCAGAAACAGCATGGCTGGCATCCTGCACTCATTTTCTGAACTTAGAGCTGCGCAAGTCCCGCAGGGCAGGGGTTTAACGACAGCGGCACGCGTGTTTTGAATAATGTCAGCTGTAAGAAAGCACTGGAAAGTCAAACACTCACAAAGACTTTTTTAATTTATTTTGATTTTTTCCTTGGCTGTCCTTGCAGAAACTGGAAGAAAAGTTCCGGCTGAACAGGCGGGAGCTGATCGCCTTTGAGTTCCCGGTGCTGGTGGCCTTGGAGTTCGCTCTCCACCTTCCCGAGCACGAAGTGATGCCGCACTACAGACGCTTGGTGCAGAACTCCTAGCGCTGGCTGCCCTGCGGGGAAGGGGCTCCTGACTGTTCCCGCTTGGCTCTCCTGAGCCGCAGTTACTACTGGAAAGGCAAAACACTTCCTAACACTTGGCTCTCTCTCTCCCCCAGAACAGTTTTTCTGGCAACGTGTAGGAAACACCGCGTCGACGCAAGACTCTCTGCTTTGACAAATTTACGTATCGTTACTTTCTCAAAGCAGGTGAAGACTGAGCTGTTGGTGAATGGTTAATGTGCTGAAACTGGGTGGCGACTGACCCTACCTGTGGGGACTACAGCTATAAAAGTAGGCAAAAATTTGAAGGTCAGCCTCCACGACCACCCCTCTCTCCATCACACAAACCCTGGAAGCCCACGTGAGTGCATTCTCATAGCGCTTTTTCTACAGACCTGCTGCGACTTCCAAGAGGACTTCTTAAACGTGAAAAAGCTTTTAAAGAGGATTATCTTCACTGTGTCAAAAAGAATGTGCCAATCTATTTTTGTATCAGCAATTGAAAGTGCACTTTTTCCTGTGGGGTGTTTGTGTGCGTAGCCGTGTGCGTGTGCGACACCGAACTGATCTCAGTCCGGGTGGTTGGCTTAGCTGTTTCCCAGCGTATCAGTTACCGATGGTGAAGATCAAGGTGACCTTACGTGTTTACTTCTTGAAGAACGTTAACTACTGGAAAAGTGATAAACGGGATCCTTTTTGGACACTTGGGGTTTTTTTTAATTCTCTGATCTTTCCAACATTGTACCTTTGAAAGGATTACACTACTACTACTACGACGAGAGAAGGATCAGCAACTGACCTTGAGTTTTCAGTCACGTTTGTGATAAAGATGAAAGCATTAGTATGAGATTTCCATGTCATGTTTTTTAAAAATATCTTGTGTTAAGCCACATGCATATTTTTAACCTTCGCACTTTTCCCACTGTGGAGATGGTTAGACTTGCACTCTGTAGTGTTGTATTTCTGTGCTCTATGTTAGAGTGCGTAATGAGCACATTTATTGTGCTGTATCTTAAAACAGTGTTTTATTAAAAAAAAAAAAAAAAGAGTAGGGCTCAGCAGTGTAACAGGTGTCTTAAGGCTCCAGCAGCAGGGGCATCAGCTTTTCAAGTTTTGGGTTTTAGCTAGAATTGACTGTGCAAAACCTAAAATCAGTGCCCACCGAAGTTAGAGGTCCAGCTCCTTTAGACGTTTCAGTACTGGAGTTTCGCAGTAAAAGTTTGCAGCTTCCCTGGTTCTGACTGGACACCCAGGCAGCTGGAGGGTTGCATCCCAGCTCCCCGATGTGACACGCACGCTAAGCGTGTTGGTGTCCTGTATGACAGGTGTTACACCTGCGTTACAGGTATCGCGCCCCTCTCCAATCTGCTCCTGTGCTGGTTCCCTTAACAGGCCTTGCCCTCGATGTGCCCCACGCGGATCCGGTGAAGTCCAATACTTCACAGTTACGATATTCCGTAAAATTTAAAATCTCAAGCGTGAGATTTTAGCTGAAGCCTTACCTCTCGGAGTTTGGGAGTGCTTGCTCGGAGTATGGAGAGGGCTTGTGAGCAGAACATAGGGAAGTGGGATGTACCAGAGGACATAAACACACTAATGCTTACTTTCTTTTGCTCTTAATCAGCTTCCTTATTTCCTTCAGTTAGGCCAGGAAACATCCAGTTTCTTCACCAGCTTGGACTCCTTTAAATCCTAGTATGAACGACGCCTGCGTACGATCGCTCTAGAGGATCTGGAAAGGTTACACACGTCAGGACAAATGGGAATTTGCTTGATGCTGTTGCTCTCTCTCCATTTTAAGGTGGAGGGTGACTACGCTAGCTTGCAGTTGTTGTTAATACTTATCTAATTACTGATTAGATACATTCCAACAGGATTGGGGAGGAGGGGGTAAAGAGGAAAGCGTGCACATAGCTCCCCGGTGCAACGCCCCAAGCCGCTGCAACCCACGCATCGCTCGGCCGGCTGCGGAGCGAGGGGAGGGGGGAGACCTCACCGACGCTCCTGTTCCCTCCTCCCAGCCCCCACGCAGCCAAGGAGCAGAGGAGCCAAGAGCCTGGAGCACGCCTAATGCCTGCGGCTGCCCTGCTGGTTTACTCAACCCAGAGGGGCGGCGTGGCGTTGACCTAGAAAGCAAAACGGCCTGTGGCTCTGCCAGGAGGGCTTCCACCCTCGGCTGCATCCCTTCCCAGCACAATCCTCCATATACGTTCAAGATTTGCTTCTGGTGGCAGAGATCCGTTTCTAACAGCGACCACTCAAGGCTAAGCAGAGGCTTTACCTTTCTGTGAAGGCTTCTACCTTTTGCTTTTGAGTCTGATTTTTATTTTT